GCCCGCCCCGATGCTGCGCGGGGGGGCGGCTGGGCCCGCTCCCGGTGTCGGTTTGTGACAGGGGTAACCTCAGCATCGTGGTGGGGCGCGGTCCCTGAGGGACGGGGACCCCTCGGGGAGGGCAGATGGCAGCGCTGCGGCCCGTTAGCCGAACCTCCCAAAAGCTCTCCCCTAAAACCACGGGGTTTGGGGTATTTGTGAAGAGAAAACCATGTTAAACGGGAGAAATGCTCCTCAGTTAAATGAAGTCGCCAAACTAACACAGAATGTTTCCTAAAGTTTAGCCTGTAAAATTACGGCTTTGCTACAGTAGTCTCAAATATATCCCTTTTAATCACAATTTATATCCCTTTACGATCGAGATTTTCCCAGAAAACTCCCCAATTAAGTACATTTTGCAGATTGTAAAAATGCCAAAAACTAGTCAAAATTGGTCTCAATTCAACTCTCTATAAAATTTTAATGACTGTGCTCTTGTTAACTAAATATTTGAAACAGAAAAATAGCAAGTACTACATATGCTCTCTTTAAACAATAAATAAGCAATTTTTTTTAAACAAGAATTAAATACAAACTTTACACATCCAAAATACAATATACAACCTATTTCAAAAGGGACTCCTTGAAACAGAAACATAGTAAGACCATATTGTGAACTGCACGTAAGCTTTCCTATACAAACAGTAACGCTGCTCACCGCAGCTTCTCCTTCAAGCTCCAGGTCAGCTCAGGGATTTTCCTATGTGGGTAAGACCTCTGGTGGGATCAAACAGCAAAATTCGGTGGTGTTAGCAAATTAGTTACCTTTTTCAAGACTGACACACGTGAATCTTCCAAAGATACCGTGTTGAACTAATTTTATCTTTTCAGAAAAGCTGATGTGGTAAGGCCATAGTAAGATTTTTAGATTTAAGCCGTATTTTATCCAATTGAAAACGTTTTGTATCATCTGTCACCTTCAGAAAGAACCAGTTGTATGGACTGTCTCATTAAGACCACAAGAGCAGAAGTAAACAATATATACAAACGAAGTTTTATCAGTTTTCTAGAATGCAGAAAACAAGAGACTTCCATAAAAAGGATTTCTTTGTTCTCAAACTTCACTTAGAAACTCAGCTTAACATACTGTTCTGTAACATTAGTAGAGTTCGCTAACGAAAAACTCTGCCGTAAATAAACCAGAGTGTTCAACAGCTTTGCTGCCAGCGTTCATGTGGCGTTCAGTTGACTCTGTCTTTCCGTTTCGGCTTTCCTCTCTTGCCGGTGGTTAACTGCAGCCCAGAAGGTTATTTTTTTCAGCACCTGCTGCAAAAGTTTTGATGGCAAGCATGGTATTTGGTTCTCCAAGAGAGCAGCGTTTTTACCAATGCAGTCAAGACACAACCTGAAGAAAGAAAAAAAATTTTAAAAAAATTAAAAAAAAAGAAGAGAAAGATTTAAGTCAATGATCTATAACCTAAAGACAAAAAAGGGACATCTAATAAACGTGTGCCACATTCATTACAGAGTATGCTACAACTGCTATGGCTTGCCATACATTGCATGGTTCAAATATTTACTGAGGAGGTAATTTTGTATTTCACCTATCTTGTAGGAGGACAGGGCTAAAACCCATGTGTAAAACCAGAGCACCACAATGATTTACATTTTAAATAACCTCAACTCACCTCAGGAGGGAATAAGGTTGAGTCTGAAATATCAACAAGTCACTGCAGTGACCCTGAGCAACAGGAAAAAAAGAACCATTAGAATGGCAAACAGCTTATCTCAGAAATACTGTTTTCCCTAGATTAATGTAGTATTTATTACCACATATATAATTTAAAACTGATAATAGCTAAGTAATTACTTGTAAAGAATCTGAATAGCAAATTCCTTTCCATGAGTCTAAGGAGGGCAGGGAAAACCCTTCCTAAATTACTTTCCAAGAACACCAAAGGTCACGTCTCCCAACACCATATGGCAAGAATGACCCAACAATATCACCAACTTTATATCAACTTTAATTATCATAGCAATTGGATTTCACTGTTCAGTTTACTGACCGTGTCCATGAAGTGCAAGTCATCTTTGCTTCCACCAAACACCATCACTTCTCCTTCTTTCCCAAGGCAGGCTGTGTGCCACAGTCTAGAAATAGAGTTATAAATGGAATTAGCGACTGAGTAACAACAAGCAAAACCAATCTAAAACCAAAATGTTTTAAGGGTTTCAGAGAAGCAGGCAGTTTAGTTGGATATTAACCTCTTCACCTCATACAGACTCTCCTCCACTCTTCACATTCAAGTTTCTTTCCAAAAGACTCTTGCTATAGGGACAGAAGTTCCTTTAACTAAAATGGAAAGGTCACTTTTCTAATCCTGTGACTCTGCTACCTATGCACACAGCCTTGAAGCCTCTGGCCTCATGACTTACTCAAAATGTTGCAATTTTATAGAATGTATTTTACGAGTTGCTGTGTGAGCTGCAGAAACAGTAAAACTGGTTCTTTACCCACCCACGTTTCACAGGGAAAAATGGAGAATAAGCACTGAGCGCTCGCGAGAGCAAAGCCGTTATGAGGCTCTCTTTTCTGTTTGGTCATTTATTTACACAGAGTATTTTGGGACTTGCCATCTCTGAGCTTCCCATTTTTATCTCAAATATTACTGAAATGGGTCCATTGATGTATGGCATACATGGGAAAGAGAGGCAGCCGCGCATGTGCAGAGCGCTGTAATGTAACCCCTACTTCTTAGAAAACCAAGACAAAGACATTATTTCAAAAGCCTTCGGAGGTGAAAAGTAATACCTTAAAATATATTACTCATTTCTTTGAGAATATAAAAGGAGAGAGCAAAGTGACTGTCCATCTCATGAGAGTCTTGCTAAATGATGACATTTCATGCAGACCAATCTATTTTTGTCATTATTTGACTCTTCTGTACTCTAGGTTTATAGATGTTGTCTTATGTGTCACTACTTCAACAAATGTTACAGTGGAAGTTTTTCAGAAGAGTAACTACCCAAAACAAGCTTTTGCCAAGAACAGCTTTTTTAAAAAAAATAATTTCCACTATCTCTCTAATTCATAACTACAACTCTAATGGCTTTAAGACTGTGGAGTTTTTGGTACTGACTTTTATCCCTGAACGCTAGGATGAGAGCTTCAGAACCCAAGTGATCCTGCTGCAATTTTACACTTCCCCCAACAATTCCTGGGGATCACTTTCTGTGTGTCAGTTACTTACATCACACCACGAGTAATTCTGTGTTGTGCACATAAAAGCACATGGTATTAAAAAACCAACCCCAAACCTGACCTGTATAATCTTGCTTTAACAAAGATTCTGCCACTTCAGCAGCGACACTGTGCTGGATTTAATTGTTCTCATTATTATTATTAGCAAATCAAGATCTGTGATTTTTCTCAGCACTGAAGTAAGCATCACAAGATGATCATCGCCACAGAGCTCTGGCCCTTTACATCTATTTAACCAAACCAAAATGCACCACTACAACTTTCATGCCAAAGTCAACGTTCTCACTTCAATGTTACTCCATTCACATCAGTAATTATTCCCGTTCTCCATAGGCTGGACTGCGTCCCACCTTTTCTCTTCCTCATATCTGGAGATAGCTCTGTCTCTGCCTTATCTGCATTAGGGAAACTCTGGGCTGGGCTTCATCACCGAAGGGCACGGGGGAGCCTTTCCTGCCTCCACTCTGCTGCCATCCTAGCTCGCAACCTGATGCTTTTCCCACAGACCTCTCACAGCTGCTCTACCTTATCACCTGAATGTTCTAATAAAGCACATTATTGCAATTAGACAGCTTTCTACACAGCTCTTTTATCCAGAATAACAGAGTTACATTGCAAAGAAAACACTGGGAATCTCAAAGTTAAACATGCAATTTGTTCTGTATTTTAACCAGGCATGCAAAATGTTAGATGAAGTACACGTGATGGACAGAAAGAAGTATTTTCTACCAGTACAGAATCACAGATCTATGATCTGGAAGACAATTTTTCAGAAATTACTAAAAGTGAAGATTGAAGGAAATTATTCTTTGCAGAATTTAAGGAGGGAATCAATTTTGTAGAAGCAGCAGTAAAACACACTAATGCATGTTTGATATACTGTGTATTACAAAATAACAAATATATAAAAGAAGTAAAAATATAGTTGCAAGTGCATTTTAAAACCTGCTGAAAAGTCCTATGAGTGACAGAAGTGATTTAAACCCTTTTCAGCTGCAGAGATGCTGCAGTAATCCTGGGTAAGAACAGGGATTAAATCATGGTACAAGTACTTCACACTCAAACCAGTACACGACATCGACACGCTTTTGGTAGAGACTTCCTGAAAAAGATGACTGAAGTATCTTTTTTTTTTAAGGAAAAAGAACAAAAGGAGGGGAGCTGCTGCATGCATGTGATCCTTGGCTGCTAATGGTGTGCAGTCATCAGCCCCTTCCTCTATCACTTCACTCACCATAAAAAGAGAATATTCTATGAAACTAAGCTATAACTTTATTTGGGCTTGAAAGAGCTTGAAATATAAGAAAACAGAAGGCTTTGTCTAACAGTGCTGTTATATCTTAAAAGACACCCTAGAAGAGGATAAAACAGGGAGAAAATTAATTGAGGTAAAGCTGTATCAGTAGTAGAAAACAGAACGTAAGGCAGGAAGCACGCAAATGCCAGACCAGAACTGTACACTATGCTAATGGAATGAAATGAAATTGTGCTGAGAGTACCTGGGCGAATGTATAGCATTAATTCCACTGGAAACTGAGTATTTACTCTCTGGAGCAAATCAATTCAACAGTATTTACATTATAAATGCAGAGAATGTTTCAAACTGTGTTAAAAAAATAAATCTATGCTCTGGTAGAGCAAGCACAGGTTTTCAAAGTAAACTCCAGGTTCAGAACATGAAATCTGCTTTCTTCAGTCAAAGAATCAATCTTTTCTGTAATCTTAAACCTGAGAGGGAAGGGGAACAGAGTTTGGAAAAGGCAATACTGCTGCCTTTTGAACCTGAAATGTGCAGCAACGTTTCCGTGGTTGTCTCTCCCGTGTTTCTAATAATGTGTCAACATTAATTAACTTCTATGATTCTCACAGGTTATGAATTCCTTAAAAGGAGTTGTGTGTCACAAGAAGTTTGGCTACAGAACATCTGGTCAGTTGGACACCCAGATCCCTCATCACAAAACATCTTTTAACTCTAGTGAGCATCAACTGTAACTAATACAGAAAGCCATCGTGCTCTATCGGGTACGAAGGAACACAAGTTAGTAAAGCAACTATTCAATCGTACTGTGTTAATTTTCTAAAATATTCTTATAATGTATTTCTTAAATACCGTTCAGTAATTTAAAACTACTTATTTTTTTAAAACACCTGAATTTCAGCAAATGGTATCTATTTTTGTATACCTAGGCCTACTCTTAGGCAAATGGGTAAGTTGCTTCCATCCATTTGTTGCAATGCTGTGAATCCAGCCATCACCTACAATATAAGAACATACATTAGTACTTTTTCCTGGGATAAACTATTACCGTTTTTATTTATTTATAGAAAAACCTCTGTGCTCTAGGAGCACATTATGTGAGGATAACAGTGACAACATCACTACATTAACTTGCATCTTTTCAGTCCTTGTAATTTAACTGAACCATTCAGTCCCAGACAGCTCAGTGCATTGAAATCTGGAATTAAAATACACTTACTGTATTTCTTTTGGCTATATTGAGAAAATTACCCCCTTCCAGGGGAACAGATCTGTGACACTCAGAACTATTTTCACTAATGTCACATTTTTTCATGAAAAGAAGTTGCCTTTTCTAGAAAAGCAACTCAGTATTGTCCTACTTCCTATTTCATATTTTGTAGCTGTGATTTGTTATTCAACCGAAGATCTACATTATGTTAACATTATTATTTCTATCTTCTTTCTGTAATTGCTATTGGTATCAAAAGTCACCCCTTGTTCATATCAAAATGCGTGAGGCTCTTGCCTTTATTCTTTTAGATGGCAGTTTGATGAAAGATTTATTACCATCCTTTCTCACTGTTCTACACAATGTGCTCCTACATTTCTATAAAAATTATAACTCAAGAAATATTCAAGTGCCATGAAAATTCTGTAACAAGATTTAGGTCTAAGTAGTTTGAGAAAGACAAATGTGCACACTACACAAGGTTAGTACTACAGCATACAATGGAGTTACAATGTATAAATTACGTACTTAAAGGAACATTGTCAGAACTTAGTCCACCAAAAAGGAAAAGTCTGTCATCTCCTATGGCAGTCAACGTGTGCCAGGATCGATCTTTTGGTTTCTCTCCACTGATACTAATTCTTGGGGAAACAAATAAACAAAAAACAAATTTTCAAAGAATGCTGAAAATTAAACTGCTAGAAAGTTTAATAGTTAATTTAGTTTGTCCTAGAACAAGCCTGACTCTTTTCCCACTGCAAAAGCTACACTTGTGCAATCTGAATTCACTCTGAAGAAAGGCAGTGTTCAAATCAAAGTAATTTCCTGCAGTAACCGTTCTCTGAACAATCAGTTATGTACATATCAGATGTGAGGACAAAAGCATTGACTTATTTTGTTTGTTTTCTTAAGATCACTAAGCCACTCCTTAACGAACAACTGAAGGCACTTAGGACAGCAAAGGAAAGCCAATATATTCAAATAAACTGCACAGTACGTGTAGGTAAACAGACTCAGTTATTTGAGATAACATTTAATTAATCCCTAGGGGCTACAGTCTTTCAACTCCTAGGAAAATTATCTTAAATGATACAAGGATTGTGGCTTTACTTGTTATCCAAAAGCTACCACCTCTTAGGCTATTGTGCCATTTAACCCAACTGGTGGGTCACCCGAAGTGTGAGATAAATTTTAGGAAAAAGTGGAATTCCTGAATACAAAACAGCTGTAGGTTTATTATGTCAAAAATCTGCTCGTGTTACAAAAGTCTAGATTTGATATTGATGTAATTTCAGCTGCAGAGACGCTTGAGATGAGCGTCGCAACAGGGAAGAACCAGAACATAAGAGATTACCTACACCAGGCAGCCTGAATTCCCATTGTCTCAGCGTGGGCTGTTAGGTGTACGGTTGTAAAGTACCTAGAGTCAGATCAGGAATCCAGGCCACACTCAGTACATCTCACTTTGGAAATGTGTTGGAAAAAGCAGGTGCAAACACATGTAAGCCCTCTCTGGGGTCAGACTCTTGGTTGGTTATGGAGGTGATTGTCATATGCACAAATGTGTGCTTAATTTACAATATGAACAGCGCAGTCATCCGTATTTCCTTTATAATCAGTGAAGAGAAACAGGTCCTTGAAAAGCACAACCTGCCCTTTGAGCTCTCCACCTTCGCAGCAGCTGTCTCATGCCCAAAAGCGCCTGTTTCTCCTCGCTGAGCACAGAGGAAGCCCAGGGTGAGCCCTGCAGGTGTCTGCAGCTCAGTGAGAGGAATTTCCCTGCTGGGGACTGCCAAGCACTTCTCCAGCTGGAGGCAAAGACTGAAGAACCACAGCTCATTAAACAGGGACTGCAATATCTACCAAATTGGGCACCGAGTCACGACGTTTGAGTGCCTGCTTTGCACAACTTTTGTAGAAGATACTTCTAAAATTGGCAAAAGAGGGAGACTGTGCTGTGACACAACAGGCTCCCGTGCTTAGAAAAATCAACAGAGATACTGATGGGGATAACGTTTCAATCTTTCACTCTACTGATACCAAAAATTATCACAGTAACAGGAATAAGACTGAACATTTTGACTAACAGGTCAGTGGGCTCAGGAGAGGCAAGGTAACTTCTGGGTAGCATCAACTAAAATAAATACTGCAATCCCATGCTGGAATATATTCCTGGATTTGTAGGTTACTATGCAATTCTTTAAGAAAGCTGCATAGAGTTGAATAAGAAAAAAAAACAACTAGACATGACTGGTTAATGAAAAGCAATGAGTGAATCTGAATGTAGGACTGTACAAACCAAGACCTCCTCGCCAGGAGACCTGTGCTTTGCAGAAGAACTTCAAACCCCTGCATTCAGCCAGCCAAGCCTTTTATTCTGTAATAAATCCTCCAGTCTCTTTTGGTGATAATTCCCATGAGCAATCCAAGGCAATCTCCCTGCAGCTGCAGAATGGCTGAGCTAATTCTGTTATCGAGATCACAAAGGCTGGATCCTGCCCAATTTTTAATTCATCATCAGATCAGACATTTCAGTAGAAAGGAATTTGAAGCTGTACTATAAGAAAGGAAATATTCCTTGCAAGAAATACCTGGAGGAGAAAATACACGGAGAGCAAACAAGCCTGAAGGAATTTCCCTTGCTGTAAAATGCTCTTCTTTTACAATGTTTGTGTGTGCAATCATGGGACTTTTGGGACCAAGTTATTTACATTTGAGGCGATGCCTACAAAAGCCCCATTTCTAATACAGCCACCGCTGCTGATTTTATGAAAGGAAGCGTGTAGCCAGAAATAATTCTCCAGACAATTTGTGGAAAGACAGATGGTAAACTGGACTCAAAATGGAAATACTGGTTTGATATTGTGCTGAAAGATACACCGATTTTTGCTCCTTTGGTAATCAGGAGATAAAATCACGCTAAGAGGAATTGTGTGTTGGTGCTTGCTGACAGGTGGCCTGGTAAAGGTGCCCTTCGGCAAGGGCAGAGCAGCACTCAAGGCCTGTGAAGCTTCCTCTGAGAACAACCTTTTGTTACTTCCCCTCCAGACATGAATGAATATGAACACTTTGCCTTCCCCAAGGTCCCATGGCAGCAGCAGCTGCTCTGCAAAGGCTCTTCCTAAATAAATCTCTTAAATCTCTTTTTTCCAGTCTCTCTTAAATCTCTTTTATCAGTTTCTCAAAGACTCTTTGCAGAGGTGCTATAGAATGGCTGGATGGTGGGCTCCTAAATTTATAACGATTAGAGTCTATATAAAATCATGGGTAGGTATTGGGTTTGGATCACAAAATAGAAATAACCAAGTATTGACACAATCCACAGTTTTTGGGAATGGCTGCATTTAGTATTACCATCCTTACTTAAGGATGTGTGTACAAAGTAAAATCAGGCTGTTGTATGCAGGTCAAGAACAGAAAACACTTTAAAACTTCAATATTAGATTTCAAATGCAAAACCAAAGGGAACACTGGTTGATAAGGACTTAAAATTTTGACACTGACATGCCCCCTTCAGGGCTTCAAATTCCTCTCCTTGAGTTGTCACTCACCTGGCACAGGTTTCCTTTTTTACAGCAATAGAAAGCCAAACAGCAACTGCTCATGCAGCAACACAAAGCAGCTAAAGCAATAATTTGAATTTAACTAAGCTGGCTGTCAGCTCACAATATATCCACTGATTCTACATGTTTGCATATAGCATTTATGATAGTGCCTACAACAAACAAATCTTAGGAAGTTTTCTAATTTCTAATTTAGTTTAAAGTGGAAATATTTAGGTCATGCTTTTTACTTGATTTCAAAAAAAATGGTTAAGATGCTTATCCTGGAGGGGGGGAATCTTTCCCCCATCTGTACCATAATGAGCCAAACAGAGACAGTAAAACCAGGATTCAAAAAGACATCAGAACTAAAATTCCATATGGATAAATGTACCCATCATGAAAACGAGGATGTTAAATCACTACATGCTGTGCTTAAAATAGCATCATCAGCGCTTTGGTGCAGAACAGAAAAAGCTTAGTAACCACTACCAAATTAAATTAAATTGAAATCACAATATAGCAGCTGTTAAAATAGTCTCTAAACTCCCATTCTCCACTTGAAAAAGCTACAAAATTAGCACTGGAACTACTTAACAATATGCTTCAATCTGCTACATTCAACATTAAGTGCTGTAGAGAGGAACTTACCTTCCAGACCAAGTCCAAGTGTCTAAATTCAGGTAGTGCAAATCATTAATTCTAGTTTGCTAAAACAAAGAAATAAAATCCCAGTTGTGTTATATTGAGCAAACAACAAGCAAAGTATCTCAATGAGGCCTTCCCAGGACAGAATATTCCAAGTGACAATATTCTGAAGAAAACTCTACCCATATGCCTTAAAATGAGACTGTGTTACGTGGCAGATGAAAAGCACTTCTTCTCAAAAAAGCCATACAGCTCTCAGAAAGCTACCTGTCGGGAATATTTACAGTAATGTGACAGCTGTGTGGAGCCAATTTTAGCTTTTAATAGTAGTTTAATAGTGAAGAACTGTGCAGTTCCTGCAAATGTATTCAGTTTTCATCCATTAAATTCACAGTAGGTAATTGCAGAAGGTATAAAACTCTACATATTCCTCTAAGTTCATCACATCTGTGTGTTTCGCTCTTTTCTGGAAGGCAAGCCCTTTCATAAAGTCACTATGAGCAAAAATGAGGTTTTATGACCCTTTAGCATTTGCCATAAAAATAAAATATATCAGTAAGGACAATGGGAAATCAATACACTTGCATACTGCCTGTGTTTGAGATGAAGAAAGCAGAAACTTAAGCGGCGGGCGAGACTATAAGAAAGAATATCTTTGCTTTAGACTGCAGCAATATTGTCAATGGCTCGCAATACACTTGGCTGCTATTTCTGACTCCCCTAGGTACTACAAAAAAAATAATCTGAGAAGTAGGGAAATGTATCTTGCCTTACCTTCCAATTTCTTTTCTCCTAGGGCAGTCCATAGATCTATTAGAATAAGCCTTTCTCCAGCTTGCAGATCCGCTGAGGCAGAAACTAGACTTGTCATTTAAGGCAGAACAGTAGTTTTACCCCTGAGAACTCAGACACTGAGTTTGAGAGACTTCCAAAGCTGTTCAAATCCAGGCTATGGAAAGTCTCCTGGGGTATTTCAGGAAACAGCAAGATTTTTAGGATAGTTATGGCCTGCTCTGATCAAGTACGTGCTCACCCTTTTCTGTTCGAGGGAAAAGAAAGTTAACTAATATTTTGGAACGCCTTTGGAGAGGCCATTGGGCTGAAGAAAAGCAGAAAGTGAGGGCTTGGTGCATTGCCTGAGAAACTTTATCCTCACAAGAGGGTGAATATAACAACAAATGTGGTCCCACCGACAACCAGTGGGACAGATCTGTGGTCCAGGACAAGTCTGTTGTGCTTCCTGCTCCTTCAGGTGGCTCTGAGGGAGATGAGGAACGAACCATACAAGCAGAAAATGCAATTACTGAGTCTCTTCTGCTGTACTGTACACGGCAGACACTTGGGGCTGGGCTGTGGGAAAGCAATATCCTGGCCTCTAGAACTGAAAATATTCAATCACCTTGGAATAACACAGTTCGATAGAGAGGACATCTATTAAAGCAAAGGAAGAAAGGAAGTTGCTGTTATGTTGGAAATTAAGGTTTGAAGAAGATCCTGTTCAAGACCTCCTCGCTGACTTTCCTTTCCTAGGCATTAGGCAGAAGATGGAGTAGTTCTCAGTTTCTTGGTCCCTGGGAAATCAATGTATTATAATCTTTACATTCTCATCATTCAACAGATCGACAGATGCATAATTACATCAAACTCATTTTGAATTCAAAACACAGCATCACTTGGACATTCACGTCTAAGACTCAGTCCTTCAACATAGCTTTAACAAAAGAAAATGCCTTTCTACCCGACCCTTATTTGGGAAACTGTAAAGCACACAGGTTATAGCATCACCACTTGCCAAACACAAAGTTCTCTTGCAATTTCTCATGTATTTCTAAATGCTACCTGCTAGATTTAATCATTCAGCTGATAATCCTAAAATGACTGTTAATTGGCTTAAAAGCATCGAGCCTCGTAAGAGGGTTTGCATTTCCCTTTGAGCTACAAGGACTTCACAGACATCCTACTTATCCGTGGCACGTTCATTTATTTGCAGCCCAGTAAGCATGAACCAGGATCTGCTCTGTCTCAGGATTGGCTTTCCAGCAGAAAGGCATTACAGGGAACATATTTACAGCTCTCCGCTACAACAGCAAACTCTGCAGCTCTGAGATTTACAACCAAACCGCTATTACTGCTCAAATCTTTCTGAGAAGGGCTGCAGATCAACACCACTTCTGATCTCCAGTGACAGAAAGGGTAACAGGAAATACAAACATGCATACGTTAAGGCATCGGATGTGCAAAGAGCTGCTGGGAAGACTTTGTTACTTCATTCTTTACCCAACTTTCCACTTAAATCAACTTTTGGACTAACTCGCCTTCCTTCCCACTTTCTCCCGTTTCTGGTTTTTCAGGGGCTTACCTGGAGGAACAGAGTCCACACAATACTTCTGAGCCTGTTTTCAAATGATTCCTGGTACAATTGATTTTGATCATCACCATCATCTTCTTTTACCAGTTCTAGCTCCAAGTTTGGAAAAGGTGCCCTTTCCTCCCAGAAAGATGAATAGGAGAAGCCTCATGACACTTCCTGGCCCTTTCTGGTTCCTTGCAGAGCCTTTTCCCTGGGAAGATTTGTATTATGGTGAACTAGAAGGAGAAGGAGGAGCAGAGCAACCCTGTGCTTGCTCCTTCATTTATGGAGAAAAGCAAGACTTCATCCTTTGGGGAGGAGTTACTCCTGCTGCCAGGAAATAGTGTTTTTCTGATGTCTTTAGCTTTCCTTTCCCGTTTCATGACTTACATTAATTCCTCAAGCCCCACTGAACATTCCCTAATCTCTTTAAGTTTCCTTCCATTAATTTCTAGGATAGAAAGTGAACCAATAATAATCACTAAGGTGAAAACTACACTCACTGCTCTCCTGCAAAATTAAATACAGCTTTCCAAAGTGTCACTCTTCTCTGTCATGGTTCACAAGCAGTTTCACTGAAATTTGGCAAATGGTTCTTATGGAAGCTGAGGAAGACAAAAACCTTTTCAGATCAGAGCGTTCGTGTATTTCTGAATCCTGCAGTCAAATATTCAGAGTTAAATAGAAGCCAGAGGGCATGTTCCCTTGGGGCATATCTAACCATGCAAGAGCACAGCGGAGAAATGACAGGTGAGCTCCTGTTCACAAATAATTTCACTTGCAGAGGCTGCATGAGAATCCTGGCTTGAGTTACAAAGCAGTTCAGCTGCACCAGGCACAGCGCAGCAACCCTGACTGGGACACACCACTTGATGAAGACCTCTGCACAACACAGAGACAGCCCTTGTTAACAGAAAGCCAGAGGGTGTAAGGCTTTGAAGGCTGAGGGAGTGTTCAGAAATAAATGGTAGGCCAGAAGGTCCTGAGCTGCGTGTTTCCTTCTTCACATCTGGCTTTCTCTCCCTCTCATGTCTGCAGGGTTGCTAAATGAGGAGCAGGGTTCAGTTCAGCTATGGTTGGCAAGAGTTTAGTTATACAAACCCTGACATACAAGATTCAAGTAAGACTAGAACCTTTTTCTCTCTCTCCTAATATCCCTTTACTTCCTTAGTTATTGGCAAATCAAGTTTGTCCAAACCTACAGCTTGGGAATCTCCTGCGTGCAGTTCTCTCTCAGCCAAGAGGTGGGGGCTTTAGCAGCAACTCCCAAGATCGTGAGCCTGTACGAAAGGCCACGTAATGCAGAGTGGGAAGAGCAAACAGGATCCATGGTGCTTACTTTCCTTTCTGATTGCTCGGAAAAGGTCTTTAGGTAAAAGCTTTTCCTGCAGCTGTGGGAGGCAATTCAAACTGAAAAACTGGCTGGACATCGTGTTCTGAGCCTGCCTGGATCTGTGTCTGGTTTCTGTCTGAGCAAGCAGGAGTAAGCCGTGTTGTAACAGAGCAGACTGGCCCTGAGAAGAACACTGCGCTAGAGGGCAGCTCTTACTGCCCGAAAACCAGGGCACAGGGAACCAAGTGCAATTTTACGCTGGTTTATTTGCAAGTAATTAAGAATCCAGGGTTTAGGTAGTGGCAGCTTTCCAAGATGAAACTGGCATATGTTCATTGTGGGGTATTCCAACCAACAGTTAATTCCTTCGCTTTCGTAGAACAAAACTATAGAAACACAGCACTGAGGGCTTTCAAATGCTCCTTCACTCTTAATTTTCATAGCAGTAGAGATAGAAAGCATCAAGTCTCAACCTCAAGCTGAATATGATTAAAGGCTCTAAATTAGCTGTAGGTAAAACATGCTAAAAACAAATTTAAAAAAATATGGAAGAGTGTACAGTAATCTCTATTAGTTTTTTTTTTTTAAACTTGCCTTATAGAATCTGCTTCTCACAAACTCCAGCTTATACAGCGATCTTTACAAATATTATCTACTCTATGCTTTTGCAACAGCTAGGAAGAGTTAAGATTATATAGCAGGCATCTAGTCTTGATTTAAATACGCACTGACTGCATCCTGTGCAGACAGCTCTGACGCTACCTTTGACTGTTATGTAAGGCACAGCAGATTTACGGTTCTCCCACAGAGTATTCAATGGTACAGTCTTGGATCAACTTTCAAGAAAACAAACACAAGCCTTACTCTTGTGGTAAGGAGCTTACATTGGATCCACAGAATAAAGCTGTCAACAGCAATCTATGCTATGCTGCACCTATTCTGTATCATGGGCATGGAGCACGCTGAAGGGAAAGACTTGGACTGCAAAACTGAATCAGAGTGCAGAGAGGCTTAACAGGGCTGGAATGAGCCGTGCCTGCAGCAGCCTGTGCTGTCAGGCAGCATCCTGCAGCATCCTGTACCTGCTGGCATGCACAGACTAACTGCTTTGTATCCAGATGTTATAATCACACACTGCTCTTCCAGACATCTCCATTTCAGCCACTGATGTGCAAAAAATGACCGAAGTTGAAATTATAAAGCCAACTGAGATCTGTTATTGCCTGCCTTTCAGAACCACGTGTTGCAATTGTAAATAGAAAATCCTGTATCCCCATTGCTGCTCTGAACTTCACTGTCCCAGAAGGTAAACATCAGGGGATGAGAGATGTGGATGTGAGGAATCAACTTCTCTCACTTATTTCTTCTTTCTTTAGCAGTGTAGGGGAGCACAAACTGAAATCCCAGTTATATTTACTATTTATTAGCATTTCATTAAGTGAAATGGAGGAAAAAAAGCCAGCAGGTTTGATGTATAAATCTGTTAAGCTGTAGCAAGCACAGTCTGCTATCATCTCATCATCTTCTTAAACATGGTCTATCATCAGGCTTGCTTTTGCTCCACTCTCAAAGAACCACCTCCTGCAGAGGTTATGCACTTATCAACCATTTTTGCTGATTTATAAACATACAGTCACCTGTTTTTTTCCCTTCTGGGGACAGCATATCATTAAAACTACAGACAGAAAGACAGACTCTTCTTTTTGTAAGGCAGAGGGGGATGAAGAGGAGCCTCCTGGATTCAACAGCCCTGACACACAGGTTAGGCTGGAGACATTTTGGATTTTTTTTTCCTATGACAAAAATAATTTGCTATTAAGAAAATAATTGCCAATAAAACAGTATTACTGCCAATAACATGTTTTAATGAAACACTAACCAGCACTCGTCCTCCAAAGATGTAACCTTTATTTCCCAGCACAGCACAGGTATGAGCTGCTCGAGGCTGAGGTGGATCTCCACCCTGAAAAAAACAAAATAAGATCAAAACAAAACATCATCCAAGTGGCAGCCAAGGACAGTGGCAAATCAGTATCACAGAGACTGCAAAAGGAAGGGCAACACGTATCAATATGCTGGCAACTTTAATAAGAAATAATTTGGTAGTCATGTCTAAGACTCCACAGACGTTAGAAGAGAAATATGTTTGCCAAGGACACTTTTAATTGAGTTCCCTCAGGAGCTAATATTTAATATATTCCCTCTTGGTCTCATTTATCATTGCTCTACTTAAGTGAAATTCAATTAATTTATCTTTCATTCCTAAGCGTAAAATTACACATCAGTTACTGTTGATATGTCCAGTGCAGATTTATTTTTCCAAAGTGCGAACCATCAGGAACTGCTACAAAAATACCTGGAAATCAGATCTTAAAGTCTGATGTTACATCCAATAGCCACATGCCAAAAAGGATTCTCTGTGTAAATCAGAAATAAAGACAGTAAAATTGGCTTTTACTTTTTAACAGTAATTTCATTTTTTGCACTTAGGTTTTCAGACATTTTAGAACATCCCATAAAGACCATAAAATAGTGCCAAGACACTCATTACAATATACTGTTTCTACTGAGTTCTTGTGTAAGCTTACCAGGATTTTATGAAGCTTTAAAGTATACTATCATATTAATATCAATAAATAGAAGTGCGTGAATTACTATTTTACCGGGAAAGTAAGTATACATGCTCCTTTGGAAGACTATTAAAATAACATATTTGCTGAAGAGTATCTGATCTGTTTATTCCAACACTATACCATGCCTGGGAGGTATTTTTTCAGAAGATTTTTCAACATTAACTCTTGCAGGGAATACAGTAACTCCATATGCACAACACTCAAAATAATGAGCATGTAAACATCGCATACTAAACACATATCTTTACTTAACTAACGGTTGTCTTAAAGCCTGACCACAAAGCTTTATCTGAAAACTATCCCCTAGATACGGAATGCTGCTTCATCTTCTAATGCAGTCAGATTTCTAACACCTCTCTGAAGCTTATGGTATTTTTTGCATCAGAACCACATTACACAAAAACACACCAGACTAGTAACATCCTGTGGGGAAAAAAAGGCATATCAGTTGTGAATCTTCCAATTTCAGATGCACTGAGCATCCTCCTGTTTCCTGTTGCAAGCCTGAGCAATACTAAGCATATTCAAATTACTTTTCCCAACATAATTTTCTAGAGCACAACTATTCAACATGCAGTAAAATCACAACAGTGTCAAAATCAAGAATAAAAACCACTCACTCGAATTACTGGTTGAGACCAACTTTGTGTGGTTGTATCAAAAACATGAACATCATTATGCCATCCCCAGAATATCTGTCCTTCCTAAAAAAGAAGTTAAAAATACTAAATAAGTTCATTCTGTTTTAAAATCTTTGTGCTTATTAAAGGATACAAACCCAGAAGTGAACTGTCAAACCAGGAAATAAACTAAAATTCAGAATTTTGTTAAAAGAAACATATGCTGATATTTCTGATGATGACTCAGCAGCTCAGGTCTGGCTGAAGGTCAGCAGCATTCAGGAACTTTAGGGCTGATGACACTTTAGAAAATGGGCTTTGGGTTCCAATGTCAGTCACTGCAGGAGACAAATTCTGCCTTCTGAGTGTAACACACTGAGAAATCAATAGATTGTATGAAGTAATACACTTCTGTAAGTCAATAATTCACATTTGATGTAAGGAGCTATAATCCCTTGAGTGCCTATTTATTTCTTATTAATTCTTGTCACTAAATCCTCTAATCAGTCTCCTTCCTTCTATTAGCTGTAAGAAATCATTGGAATAAAGTAGCTAATCCAGGCCTCTTAAAGTAACGGCATTTACTCCAGATAACAAATTAAAGAAATTAACAGAAGGCATTTGTCAGTTTGACTTGTGAAGCCATAAATTCCCAATCGTTACTTCAAGAAAAATAAATTCTGAAGTTTTCTGGGAGTTTCATATATAAAATATGTCTTCAGATTTCAAACACTGCCTCTGCTCCTGATTTGACACTCTTGTTCCAGTGCACTCAAAGCTTTGCACTGGGCACCTGGAATGCACTGAACGTGCAACATCTGAAATGTCAAATAAGTACAAGACTCCAGTTTGCATTTCACCAGATTTTCCTGCTTACTGAGTATGAAAGATCACATTCTGACAATCAGAAAGGACAAATCACACCAAATGGTGACAAATCTCTTACCCAAAATGCATCATGGACATCAAAACAGTCACACAGTTCATTAAGCTTCCTACAGCCATAGCCACCAAAATATATTAGCCTCAAAGAATAAAAACAAAAAATAATTTCAGTTAGCTGGCTTGTAAATAACATTCAAATCAATAAGCTGTAATAATTAATATAAAATTTTGGTTTACCTACTGTACTATTAATAGTCTAAACAAATGAAAATATTTCAGATTGCACCTAATTACACAGACAACCTTACCAAGACAAAGGTAATGTTGTTACAAGCCTGACAGATGCACAGAAACAAGGAAGGAAGTTCAAGATACTTCACAGTCCCTACTCTCTGTTCCTCCATCCAAAAACTTATCACAGTCCCATTTTCAGACACAAGTCTCAAAACGACACACAGCAGTGAAACGCCTATGCTTCTCCTACAATTCCTACTCTTTTCTCTCTAAATTTGCTGTATTTTCTAGCCTTTTGTATACATCTTTCTACAGCAAACCTTCCCAAGGTTCAGCCCACACTGCCTGTGACCCACAGAGCCTTTCTTGAGCTTCTAAAGAAATTTTTTTAATCTAAGCACTACTGAACATATTGCATTCCAAGTATCGTTACACACCTCCCAGCCTAATATTCCACCCATGAAATGGCCATCCATAAGTAAGGGTTCCTAAAGTTTTGTTTAACGTCAACATTTGTGGATATTTGGTAGAGCTGTTATGATCTTGGGAGAAGGCAATTTAGGAAATGATGGGATGGTGCAGGTCATTCCAGACTGACATTCCTAGGGAAACAGAGTTACTGACAGCATTGTGCAACACACCACGACATCCTGAGCTGCAAATTCACATCAGGGGAAATGTCAAGGTATAATTCTGCAATGGTGCATAGCTCGTCCCCAAACACTTCTGTTTAATGAAAAGGCTACATTCTGCCACCTGAAATAGGTGATTTTCTCAGTATGTGGATTACACGATACTCTGACCAGACTCATTTAGTTCTGAATAAACTTGCATTAACAGCTACGGAGAACTTGTTCAAGTATACGTAATTTCATCTATCTTGCAGTTCAATTAGAATTACAAAACCAAGATATAGAACTGAGAGGCACTGTACAGTTCATGCAAAACCCTCTATATGCAGAGTCCAGAAACGGAGCAATCATGCACATTTCATAGTGTTCACTGTACACCATATTCTTGTTTACAGTAACTTTTATAACAAGTCACTGACATGTTACTTTCATGTGACCAGATCTGCCACAATATCCCAACGTTCCCCATAATAAACTTAAAATCTGAGGTAAAACATTTATTTCTAGCTAGGTATTTTTTCTAAATACACTCAGTAACTTCTACAACACAAATACCGAGGCTGACTTCGTTCTTGTAAAGATACTCACTAAAATGTCTTTGCAGTTGTCAGTATTTGTATGCTACTGAAATCCTTGAACATATACTAAATCTCTTTTATTGCAGGTAATAATTTAATCCTTACATAATGCAACAACAACAACAAGAAAAATCAATGCCATTTTTATACTGATTTTTGACCTGTGTTAAAATTAAAACCGTAACTAACATAATGATTTTTGTCTAAAGTCTCAAAGCAGTCCAGAAACTTTCACTACATTTCCCAATTCTCTCCTGGAGTGGGTCTATACTTACCGTTAATTCAGCTCACATGTGAGAAAACTCTGGTAGAAAGTTGTTAGGAGAGTTACACAAAATCCCATAGCAAGGCAAGCTAAGAATTAGTTTCATGAATCCCAAACCTGTGTGCTCTTCACTTTACAGTACTTCCTCTCTGCAATTAACACATATTAAATATTCTTAATGTGTTACCTGTCCTTATACACCCAGCAGGAAAGCTTGTCACGTGGTGTAGGAGGTTGACCTTTAAAATTTGTAATTTTTTTCCACCTATAGGTTCCATTTTTTGTTCGCAAATTAACATAATACAGCTTAAAAGAAAAAGATTACAATATTTTCAGTATAAATAATGTTGAAGAATCCAGCACAAATCACCAGCAAAACCGAACAGCCCACCACCCCCTTTTTAAAACAAAAAGAACCGACAGCAAGGTTGACGATACGTAGCAACACAGAGGAAGAATACGATACGCAACAGGGACACAAAAAGTGTGAGAATTAACAGCAACTGAGACCTGATTAAGGGTCCATTTCAGTTAATTTCTCCTCAGGACTGAATTCCTATTTCATTTACACTAAATCATAAAACAGCTCATTTCATCTACCCTGCTACTCCAGTCTTCCGTTACAAGGAAAGCTGGGAGCTATATTTTAACTTTAATTATTACCTGATTATATAAGAAAGGTAATCACTACCAAAGAGCAAAATTAAGAGTGATAATCTGAGATCAATTTCAATTATGGCTGCCAATATCTTAGGGGAAAAAAAGTAATTTGGAAAGCACTGGCAGTTTTCAGAAATAAAATCAGGAAGTTTTGCATAATGGGTCTCATTCTGAAGCTGTAATTCAGTGAAAAGGCCCAGAAAAATATGTGGCGTTGAACATTAAAACAAAACCTGAAGTTTTCTGTCAGTTTAGAAGGTTTTTTTCCCTAAAACAAAAATAAAGCTTTTCCTTAAATTTCTCCTTCATTCAAATGCAAAGTACACCAAGCAAAACAGTAAGGTCAGCATTGTTATTAATTCAAATACAACTTCGTGAAAAAAAATGATACAATACCCGATTGCTGTATCCTTTATCATCAAATCCACCAAAAATGTAGAGCTTCCCATCAATGCTCGCCCCGCAGCTTCCTGACATGGAGGTGGGCAACTCTCCTTCCATTAGGTGCATCGTCCTGCAATTTTAGCACATACATTTAACTCTTAAAACGCTCCTTTCAAACCTGATAAAATTAACAGTTCCAAAAGAGATGCATTAGTAATTTTTATACTTAAACCTAAAAATGCAATTACAATCTTCTGGCCAGAAGTGGCACCAGAAGCTGTAGCTGATATATGAAGTCAGGCTCCTGTGGTGTAGGAGGACTTTCATGCAAATATTGTGCTCACGTTTAGAAAGCATCTCAATTTCTCTGACTATGCAGAAGGAAAGGATTCATACAGCTTTGAGCTCTGATGCTTGACTTTACCCCAACCTAAAACAACTGGAGGCAGCCATTAAAAGGAAAAGCTTTTTGGGCACTAGATCACCAGATGTGCACAGGTGTGACGTGTCCCTACCAAAAATGGCACTCACTGTCAGCTGCTCAGGGCTCTGCTCCCAAATCCCTTTGTCCTGACACCAGCTCTGCCACAGCCCAGCCCATCTCTCCCTTTCTCTGCTCTCGCTCTCCTGTTCCCGCATCGTGCAGTGCACCCCTGCTGTAAACTGGATGAGATCAAGAACGGATCCAGGTTAAAAATAACCTTGAGAAAATAAAAGTTATATTTAAACCTGATCGCTTTCCTGATCCAGTTTCCCACATGACCACATCAACAGCTGTGCCAGTACCTCATGCACATCAGGGGTAAAAAACGAGGGAGAGCATGAGGTTGCTTTGTGCAATGGATCTCTTGAATATGAGAATGCAAGAAATATATACAGAGGTGGGAGACCAGAAAGACAGCTGACAGAAAACACATACAAGGTCAAATGGATACTGCTTTACCAGACTAAATGCAACTATTGGAATAGAAACCACTGGAAAACTTTAAAAGCAGGCACTGTTCTCTCTCCCCACATACAATATGTAAACGCAATGAATAGAAAATGTAAAGATTAAATTCTAGCGATGTGCAAGATCTGGTTAGTTATGAGTTATTTATGCAAACACACTCAGAGCACCACTAAGTAATAACAAATAGATAATTTTAAATAGATCAAGAACTCAAATAACCAACGTTTAAATATTGCTTTTAATATAAAAGTTAATATATGGAGAACTAAGCCACAATAAATGTCCAAATAAAAGGCACTTGTTTTAACAACAGAGCCTTAAGCCGACCATTTCAAACATTCTCTTGGAAAAAACTATTATACCTAAGGAATTAATGTGTTTCCTAGGGTTAATTTGCAAGTCCATGTGTCTGTTCTTCAGTCTTTACATTAAGCATCTGCTATTTAAACTCCAGGGAACGTGACCAGTAAGTCACGTAACTGAAGTCTTTTCATCACAGCTAACTGTAACCTACGCAAAGATCACCTTTACCTATTAATTAAATATAAATTATGCAACTTACCATAACCCACTATCCATTTCATAGATCCAGAGCTCATCATTAGGCAGATAAACTTCATTTTCTTCAATTGACTAAAACAAAAAAAATAAATTTGCAAACGTTAAATCAATTATGCATTATACACCATACGTTTTAAAATGAAATATCAAATCACGTTACTTAGCAACACCAAATAATCTTAAGGAGATAATCTCCCAGAGCGTAAGTCATACCCCAGCGTTATTGCTCTCATCGTTACAACTCTAAACAGGCAGCTCAGTAATGCTAATATTTTATATTTGATACTTGAAATTCAAAAAATATGGTTTTCATGTTTTGAAGCTATTAAAAATACCGTGCTGAACATTTCTTGATGCCATCGAGCTTCATGGATTGTTAACAGCGTCTTTAAGGTGGGAATATTATAAAAAATTAAGTTTGGTGTGTTAGAGGTAGAGAGAGAAGCGTTTCAATATTCAAAAAGTAATATGAATATAAACCAATACATACTTGTAAAATTAAGAAAAAAAGCACAGGTGAACAACTGAGTCATTGGGAAACACGCACAGCTGCTGCTAACAAGTAGCACAACAGTACCATAACGTGACGTTGGACTTAAAATACCCCAAAAATCTTAAAAGAAACTCAAAGATGCTTCCTTCCTCTATTAAAAAGCCATTACTAAGGGAATTATTATTTTTCAGTCACTGATGTGACCACCCTGAGCAAATCTTGCCGTACTGGAAGCCTTCATCTCTCCAAATCCAGAACAAAAGATGAGCATCACGTATTGATGCTGCTCTTTGGGGCATTTTGCATCTTTAAGGGAAAAATGGGTTCTCCTTCACCTGAAGGGTTATTTTCCTCTTTCTACAACCCCATTTTTATCTTTTCCAGAAACTGAGACTTTGCCACACTATCTTGATGGGTAAAGAACTCAACGGAAAGTTAGAAAAAAGTACTTATTTTTAAAATAAGGAACTTAATTCCTCAGGTCCACTCATTAAAGGCACAGATTTACCAACATAACGTTTTGCCAAGAAAGATGCGGAACAACATAAACCAGACCAGATTTGAAGCTCCTGAATGAAAACGCATTATCTTTTGTTTTGGGAGATGCTTTTAATTAGGTGGCAATTCTTGGCATGATGTACAAAATATAGAGAAAAGTGTAACTGAAAAGCACAAAAAGAGCAGTTATTGCGGGGACTGAAGGAACTTGAAAAAGCAAAATGTCAAATATAAAAGTGCTTAACCTATGCCATAACATGAAGGGAAAAAACAATTCCTCTGTGAAAAACAGATCTATGAAGGCTCCCAAACAGAGGCCGTGTTAGAAAGAAAAACAATTTGGGAAAGAATGATGAGGAGGAGTAACAAACAGGAAAAGGAAGTCCAAAAGAATGTAGTTGCAGCACTTGGGCTGAGTAACAACTACACCATTAATTATTGTCTTAGCATTAGGAAGAAATGAAAGACTGGGAGGGAATAAGAGTCAGTAAATTTAAAATATTTTTTAAAGTTATCAAAATTAAATGAATGTGAGGAAAAGAAGTTAAATACAAAACTGAAACTTAATTATTAACAATACGTGCTATGTTTGCTTCTCCTGCCAGGTACCCTTCACAGGGTAGGCTCTGTTGCTACACGCAGCTTTCACAAAGTGCAAAAGTCTACTAAATTTAATCTAGATACGTCAGAGGCTGAGTGTTTGCTACAGAACCAGCTCTGAGCAAATAAACCGATGCCAAAAAGTTCGGTGGGGCAGTCATCTACCACCAACATGCAAAATTATTTACCTGTGTAAAGTGCTGCTTAAAGAGTAACAGCAATTTTCGTAATACTCTCCATAAATAAATACGGGAAACTACTACAAACATTTGCAAAGTTTATCAGCTAAACTTAACACACACTGCCCGTTTTGGCTGTGCCATGAACCCACGATCCGTTACCAGAAAACCTTTGAAAACACTGCACTAGCCAGTCCAGCCTCAGTTTCTAAAGACCAAAGCATAGAAAACTACCAAATATTACCAGTGATTCAGGTGTTGCATAGTTATACAGACTATTATGGAGTTTAAGGACAGAAAAGGACATTAAGTCTTCCTGAACATCACAGATGACTCACATTATTTAAATACATACTTATTCTAAAAGTAGCTAGCTTCTTAACACCAGAAAATATGTATTCAAACCCTTACATGGTGTGCAGTCACAAGGAACACTCCATTTCATCGCAGTTTGGCATTGGGCAAGCCTGGTCATGCAACGGGCTAGATACAGCTGCCAGCGTAACCCAGAGTGAAACCTTGCTGTCCTGCTTCCTCCCACCACTGAGGGGCTGGATTTCTGCACCTAATATCTGTTTGTATTTTCAGTATTTCAGCAGCCCAACATTCTTAGTTATAGAAAACCCCAAACATTCACATTTCAAAAAGTAAACTATTATGTGATTCAGGAAGAGACAACTAGCCAGTAGTACCCGAGAGCCCTAGAAATTGTCCTTCCCTCTGCTATTGCACACACTCCTAACATAACATATATTTTAAAATTAAATCCAGGATTCCCCAGCAAGAATTCTATCCTTGAGTACAGAAGAACAAGATCTGCACATTTTGAAGTTTAACTTTGAAAAATACAGATAGAAAACAACAAAATATGTTAATAGAAACACATTTTTCAACCTAATCAATACCAGAAATAATACCAAGCACAACTGCTTTCACATTTTGAGGACCAAAATGTGTTGATAGCGTGGATAAAATGAACTGGCCATATTTTATGTAGTATAATTCACAGCTTTTTTTCAGACAATTAATCCAGAGCTAAGAGTCACACAGATGACTTATGCCAGAACCAGAACTGATCTTTCAATGGAAAAAAAAGCAATTTTTTTTCAGTCTGCCATCAGCTTGTTCTTGAACTTGACAGAACTGCCTTCTGAGGGAGGAAAACACACTGGCCATAACATACAACTACTAATAAGTAAAAAATGTAGGGACTCAGGTACAAGAATGCGAATTACACACTAGGAAAACAGAGCCGCAAATTATAGCCGTCACCCCACAGAGGAAGGGAGATGAGAGAAGGACCCTCAGCGCTTCCTCAAGCCGCACGCTTGGAGGACAAGGGAAGCAAACCGGCTCCACCAGCCCTTCCTCTACGCGTGCTCCGTGAGGGAGGCAGCTGAAAACAGGAGGAGGCAGCCATGGGCCCCGGAGAGGGGCATTCC